TGGATGAGATGTTGTCATAGGGATTGTGGGGACTTTATTAGAATATTAGAAGGTGTTAATACCCAAGGTTATTCTATTAACATATTATATGGTAAAATGCTTCTCAGAAATTCTAAACAAGAATTAGTCTGTGTGTAGAGAATAAGAGTCTGGGGTTACTCAGCAATAAATAGGGAATCTCATCTACCTAAGACTCAGAGAACATTGCAGAATGTTTGAAAGGAGTGAAAATATTAAAAGAGCCCTGAGTAGTATATAACAACAATGAAACTGCTTTTATTTCCAGACACAATAGGGCAGCCACACATACAAACCCACAGTGATTATGACAGCATGCACAAGACTCATAAGAGCTCAAGACAGACAAAAATCTCAATATGGAGGGGGACATGAAGGTGGACATAGTTCCATCCCTAGATGAAGAGCTATTAGTAATTGATAGCTGCTGATATTGTCAGTGCCTTGCTCAGCCATCATCAGAGATGATTCCTCTTGCAGCCGATGGGAACAAACACAAAGACCAACAGCCAGACATTATGCAGAGAGTTAGAGACCTTGGAACACTCATTCTTTTGTTTTGCTTTTCTTGTTGTTTTGTTGTTTTTTGGTCTTTTTTTTATTCTTTGGGAATGTCACCTCCTGCACCCCAATCCCATTCCACTCATCTCCCAGCCCCTCTGTATCTACCCCTCACTCCTATAGTACCCCCCACCCAAAGGAAAGCTAAAAAAGAAAAAATAAACAGTATTAAAAAGAAAAATACATCACTCCATCCTTCCCACGTCTCCATCGCCTCTTCATTCATCTTAGTGGCATTGGGAGCTGCTCTATACTGTGCACGATACCCTTTTGTCCGAACCATTTTACTTGCCAATGTTCACTGTGTAATGAGTTATTGACCAAGTTCAAGTCCTCTGACTTTGATACACCATCAATAATGGACCCCCACCTGCATTCCTTTTCAACCTGCTGCTGCTCCAAGTCATGGAGATCCTGCAGCTATGGTTCCTCAGGATCAGTCCCTCACACACTCCAGCAGGTCATATATGGGGTAGAGGTTGGGGTGTGCCAACTCCAAGCCCTGGATGTGTGCCTCTGTGACAGCTGGGTGGGTCACTCCAGGCCACTGGGACCATTCCTCTCAGGCCCAAGATGAGGGGTAGGACATGCTTCCCCAAATGTGGGGGCCAGCTCTCTTATTGAGTGGACCATCTTTCCCAGACTGGGATCATCAGGGTCCGTTATCCCAGGGCCGGGCAGGTTTAGAGTCAGCTCTCCTGCTGGGGAGGCAGGTCACTCTGGGCTGGTGAGGAGTGGGACCAGCTCAACAGGGCCCTCCTTCAGACTCAGTCAACATTATGGTCACTGATGGTACAGATCACCCAGATTGTCATGGCCCAAGCCTCAGCATGTTCCTTCAGCATGGCCACAGGTGGTGATCCAGAACCCAGGCATCTGTGTGGCCCTTGGTGGTGACAGAGGCCATGAACATCATCACAGACCCCCAGGTGCTGTAGGACCATGGATCCAGATGGGGTCCTCGGAAGCAGCCCAGCCCATATGCCACCATGGCCCTGGGGTAGGAGCACAGGACACTCAGATGGGCATCACCCTAGTTGCCAGGTGGCCATTGGGCCCCAACATGGTCCCAGATAGGGGCCCAGATGCTGGATATCTACACGCCCCTTGATGATATTAGGTGCCATGTACATCAACACAAACCCTGCCTGCTGTAGGGCCTCAGCTCCAGACAGAGCCCTTGGCAGCAGCCCAGGACCAGACAATATCTTGTCCCTGTGTGGCAAGCAAGCCTCCCACATCAGCCTGTTCTTCAGTCTTCTACCTGTCTCTCTCTATATATAGGACATGAACCTCTCTGTGCCTCTCTCTCCCTCCCATTCCCCACCATATATTTGGTCACCCTAATGGTGCCTGACCACCTGGTGCTGCAAGACCTCTGGCTTCTTCTCATCCACCCAGCACAAACTGCTCCAGGTGGCCAAGCGCATGTGCATCTCTGGCTGTTCTTGGCTTCTTGCTGCCCACCCTCTGGGCAGGCACGTGGGAAACACTCATTCTTAAATGTGGTATCTTTACAAAATCCCTCCCCTGAACACGCAGGGAACTCTGGGAAGAAGATACAGAAAGAATTGTAAGCTATAGGGGAAGGAAGACACCAAGAAAACAAGGCCCTCTAGATTAGAATGATCAATGCACACAAACTCAAAGAGACTGAGGCAGCATGCAGTGGACCTGCAGGGGTCTGCTCCAGGTCCTTTGTGTATATGTAATGACTTCCAGTTTAGTGTTTTTATTCCTGAGAGTACAAACGGGTGGGTCTCTGTCTTTTGTCCCCTCTCTAGAGATCTTTTCCTTCTGTTTGTTTTGTTTTATTCTGATGTGTTATATGTTTTTTAATTTTATTTTATTTTATTATTATCCTTTAGAAGCCTGTTTGTTTTCTAATGAGAGACAGAAGGGGAGTGTATCCAGGTGGAAGGGGAGGTGGGGAGAAACTGGGAGGAGTAGAGAGATTAAAATCATAACCAGATTGTATTATGTGACAAAAACAATCTATTTTCAATAAAAAGGAAAAAAAGAAAAAGTAATAGTCTGTCTCATATGCATGCATTGCTAAGAGTATTAAACATATTCTCTTAGAAAAGCATGTTCTAATTAACTCAATTTATATATGTTGATATAATTCAATTACAATTAAAACAATTTGTTAAGTCTCAGTGGAGTATTGTTTCACATTTAAAACATTTTTTTCTCAAGAGATCAACTGTGATTAACTTTAGTAAGGGGCTCAAAGTTCAAATTATTGAGAGATTCACATGTTCCTCATAAATTTTATTCCATTTTTAAACATATTATGGTGAGTCTGCTTTAGTCTTGTTAGTTTAGTCTCAAGTAAAATTAAACTTTTCTTCCTCAGATGGAAATCATGAATGTGAGGTCTATCTAAGAGGAGTGTGTTACACTTTGCACACCTGTTCATCTGGACATTTTTTTAATGGAGTACCTGAATAGAGAAACTCCTGAGATGCCTAAACAAGTCATATAGTCTTTGTTTACCTCCAGTAGCATTGTTCCAGGCAGAGCAGTGGGAAGTAGCTATCACCTCCTATTTGTACACCTTTTTTAAAGGCAAAAACCACAACTGTGATGTATTCAGAAAGGCAGCTGTAGACATCTGCAGCAAGCAAGCATTGTTTACAGAAGCAGAGAAACAGCAGTTCAGTGGTCATGCAGTTCCCATAACCTTTAGGTCAGGGACACACTGGGTAGGAATTTATAGCTGGCCCTAAGAGCCTTTTACTCTAAGAATTTGTGGTTGGTCTAAGTGACCAGAGACCAGTTTACCCAAGAGAATTTTAGCAGTTAAAGTATTCTTAGGAATTTTTCACAAGTAGGTATAATTATAGCTCAGTAGTCCACTAAACTGTGAATACTATCATTCTGTGGCTGTCACTGAGTTCTTGGTCTGATTTTCAGTTATGACAGTGCTGTTAAGATCGATCCATGTTGTATGTCTCAATCATTTCTTCCTTTTAAATGCCAAAGAATATTTTATGGATACAATTTGTCCATGCACTGATTAATGATGTCTGGTCTGTTTTCAGGATTGAGAATTATGATATATACCATAACCACTCAAATATTGTCAGATTTATAGACATACATCTTCACACCTGATGGATAAACTCCAGGATTGGGATGTCTAAGTCACATGTTTAGCTTTTTAAACAAATGCCTTCCTCACCATCATCACTGTTTCTTAGGAAGCATCTTGCAGTGATCACATAATGAGACACAGGTGAAAGCTTTGTGTTTTAGCTGCTTGTTGACACTTGGCTTTGCTGTAGTTTTGTTCCTGTTTACATTCATTGAAGTCAATCTGGTAGATGTGCCTTGGTATCCTAGCACAGTGCTAATTTGTTTTTACAGCAACTAATAATGATTGCAAGTAACTTTTCATGTGCTTATATGGTGTTCATATCTCTCTGTGACAAAGAAATGTCACCAGTGGAATATTTAAATCTTTTATCTAATTAATAGAGATATTTCCTATTTATTACATTTTCAGAATTCCTTAATATTCCAGATGTAAGCCTTTTATGATATATATGTTTATAAGAATGTTTTTTGTTGATCTTGTGGTTTATCTTTTTCTTTACAGTGTATTTCAAAAAAATAGAAGTTCAAAATTTAATGATGTACAATGTATCATTTTTTCCAAACAAAAAGGAAAAGAGGAGAGAAGGACTGCATCATTCAATTGTTCTGTATAACAACAAATAACAAACTTAAAGAACTGGAGGGCTAAGTTACAGGGAGAGTTAGTTTGTTAAATGTCCTTAAATTGTCCATTTCTCAATGCGAAACCAAATTTTAAATTCTTTAATAATAAACAGCATGATTACCCACCAAGATAAGAGTCCTCCATATATTTCAGCTGCTACCAATTTTCTAATTGCTAGAAAATTCTTGAGGATTAGGTTACCTAATATAACACAGAACACCCAACTAAATTTAGCTCCAGTACTTCCTGAAAGCTTTGATCTTTTGCTACATTCTAAGTTCTAAAATATTCTTTTTAAAAATGTTCATTGTTTATCTGAAATTCAAATTTAGTTGAGTGCCCTACATTTTTATTTATTCAATATAGCAGCTTTGTTGGGGTTACTAATATGATTACTGAATGCCAATTTTGTAAAACTTAGTTTCAGATAAATAGCACTGGACCATGGAAAGGAATTGGGTCAATTTGCATCTTAGCAAGCAATAGCCCAGCCTAAATTAACTGTGTGTAGAAAAGAATGACCTCCTGAGAAGATAAACAGACACACAATATCCAAGCTAAGGATCACCAAACATGCTGTTTATCAGACTAATTGAGGTTTAGGTCAACTACCTTACAGTCTTCATGTGTAGTTCCAGTTTTCATCACAAGATAGACTACAACTTAAAGCGGTAAAGACAAGGCCAGCAAACTGCCAAGTGTAGATACTAAACTACATCAAGTCAACCAAGAACTAATTGGATATTTCTCTACTTAAAATGTCATACAAAGTGGATACTGCCTTAATGCTTGTGGCTATTGGAGAGACCTTGGTAGGGATCTTAGGAAATGCATTCATTGCATTGGTAAACTTCATGGGCTGGATCAAGAGTAAGAAGATTGCCTGTATTGATTCAATTCTCACAAGTCTGGCCATGTCCAGAATTTGTCTGCAGTGTATAATCCTATTAGATTGTGTTATATTGGTGCAGTATCCAGACACCTACAACAGAGGTAAAGAAATGAGGATCATTGACTTCTTCTGGACACTCACCAACCATTTAAGTGTCTGGTTTGCCGCCTGCCTCAGCACTTTCTATTTCTTCAAGATAGCAAACTTCTTCCATCCTCTTTTCCTCTGGATAAAGTGGAGAATTGACAAGCTACTTCTTAGGAGTCTACTGGTGTGCTTGGTCCTCTCCCTGTGTTTTAGCCTTCCAGCCACTGAGAATTTGAATGATGATTTCAGACGTTGTGTCAAGAAAAAGGAGAGAATAAACTCTACTTTGAGATGCAAAGTAAATAAAGCTGGACATGCTTCTGCCAAGGTAAATCTCAACCTGGTCATGCTGTTCCCTTTTTCTGTGTCCCTGGTCTCATTTCTCCTCCTGATCCTGTCCCTGTGGAGACACACCCGACAAATGCAGCTCACTGCATTAGGGTACAAAGATCCCAGCACAACAGCTCACATAAGAGCCATGAAAGCAGTGATTTCCTTCCTTGTCCTGTTTGTTGCCTACTGTCTGGCCTTTCTCATAGCCACCTCCAGCTACTTTATGCCAGAGAGTGAATTAGCTGTAATTTGGGGTGAGTTGATAGCTCTGATCTATCCTTCAAGCCATTCATTTATCCTAATTCTGGGGAACAGTAAACTAAGACAGGCATCTCTGAGGGTGCTTCGTAAAGTAAAGACTATGCTAAAAGGAAGAAACTGTTAAGAGCATGGACAGATCTGAAGAAAAACTTTCACTTTCTAAGATAAAGGAGGACAAGAACATTATCTTTCATTCTTACGTGAATGCTGGTTTCATGTTGTGACATCCCTTAAACAGACAAGATTGAATCTCCAGAAATCTCAAGTACAACTTTGTATGTATCTGTCTCTATTTGTCTCTCCCTCTCTACAGAGTTGAAATTTCAAAAAAAAAAAAAATCTGAATAAATTATAACAAATATCCAGAAGAGGAAAGAACATTTTCATAGTCAGTTCTGAATCACTTTTTGAAATGCAAAGCCACCTGTCAAATTCAAAATGATTGTAACAGCATCTCGCTGTTGTTTGCATCCTATGGAAAGAGCGAATTCATTCTTATGGCCCTACTTAGCATTTTCTTCTCAGGTCACCGAATTCTGTTCATGATTGGAATAGAATCAAGTACAAAGTGACAATTTTTGTTTTGGAGACAGAATCTCACCATGTGATTCTGGCTGACCTGGAAATGCTATAAGGACCAAACTGGCCTTGAACTCACAGAGATCTGCCTGCCTCTGCTTCCCAGTTCTAGGATTAAAGGTGTGTACCACCACATCTGGCTCAGGTGATGATTCTTAACAAATTCTTTGGAAATATATATGTGGGAAATTAACAGTGAATTTAAGCACCGTTCAGATACAAATTGTGATTAAATGTTATATTAACTTCAAAAATATTTAGGATTATAGATCAGTGGATGAAAAATATTCTAAAAGTAGGGTAGTAAGTTTTACATTGACTTTCTGAAAAATAAAATCTATTGGCTGCATATTGAAGCAAATTTCTCCACAAAGAACACCTATAACATTGCTCTGAACACCTAGACTGTACCAGTCAGAAATTAGAAAGACATCATGACAGGATATGGCCTCCAATACTGAAAATAGAATCAGTTACACTAAAGCTGGATACATACCTGAAGACTATGTCAGCATGCTACAGAGATACCTGCATTGCCATATTTATTGCAACACTATTCATAATAGCTAAGATTTGCAACAAGACTATACACCCATCAACAGATGAATCAATAAAGAAAATGTATGTATCCATGATGGAGTTTTATTCAGACATAAAGAAGAATGGAGTTGTGTCATTAGCAAGAACATAAGTAGAATTAGAGATCATTGTGATACCTGAAATAAGCCAGACCTAGAAAAAACAAAAACTGCATGTTTTCTCTGAAATGGAGAATATAGATTTAAATTGATGAATGGGTGGATATTGATATAGTATAAAATAGAAATGGACTTTTTGAGAGTGTGAAGAAGTCTAAAGGAACAGGGAAGTGATATAGTACAGCATAATGATGGTAAATAAGAAGAAAGGAAGGAAGGATGGAAGGATGAAAGAAAGAAAGAGAGAGAGAAAGGAAGGAAGGAAGAAAGGAAGAAAGAAAGAAAGAAAGAAAGAAAGAAAGAAAGAAAGAAAGAAAGAAAGAAAGAAAGAAAGAAAGAAAGAAAGGAAGAAAGGAAGAAAGGAAGGAAGAAGGAAAGAAAGACAAATAATGCGTGCCCTCTCATACATGGAACCTGGAATATTAAAAGCGTGTGTGAAAGTGTGTACAAGTCCTGAAAGCGGGAATGGGACTACTTAAAGAAGGAGAAGGAACAACAGGAGGAGGAGGATGACAGCGGAGGACAATGGCAAAGAGTAATGACATGAGCAAAGTACCATGGTTTACACATGGAGCAATTTTATACAGAAACCCATCATTTCACATGCCCACTGAAAAAGGATGACAAAAAAGGTACACATACTTACTGAGAGAAAAGGAAAGGAAATGCAAGGCCAGGAAAGTAAAGTAAAGGAAACAATTAAGAGACAAAGAAAAAATAGTGAGAAGTGAAAAGAAACAAAAAGAAGTGGGAGAAATGTGGCCTGGAATGAGGGACCTGAGCTACAGAGAGCCCAGTGTGGTGAGGCTTGTCTGTGACTCCAGCACCTGACAGGCAGAGAGAGGTGATAGAAGGGGAGTTCATGGCCAGCCTGGGCTACATAGTCAGAACCTATTTCAAAGTATGAGAGAGATCAAGGAAGGGTGCATAGGAGAGGTTGGAGGGGGGAAAGAGAGGAGGAAGATAATGTAATTATAGTATAATTTCAAACAAAAATATTTTTAAAGCAATGGGGCAGGAAAATGCCCTGACAAGTAACGGGCTCAGTTAACAAGTCTAGCAGCCTAAGTTCATCCTTGCTAGGATAAAATTGGCCTCACTCAGGAAGGTGGGTTTAATTCCTGGGTGTATTAATTGTTGTAAATCATGTGGAGATAAACAAAAAAAGTTGAACGGTAGATTTGCATAGCTTCTTTTACTATAGCAATGATGACAGTTTTCAAGCTTTCACTGTGAGAACTCAGAGAATGGACCACAGAAAGTACAGCTGAATTCCTTTCTGGTTCTATTCCTCACATGCTCAGTAGACAGCCATTCATAGGTACCAGACACTGTTGTAGTTGCTGAAAGTGCATATGCGATACAATAAAGCCCATTGTGTTGTGTCACGTACAGTCACAGAAAATACCATGGAAGACAAATAATAATCAAATAGACATAGTTACAAATCATAATTATACAACTGAGAGTAACTGCAGATGAGTGCTGTGGGATGTTCTGTATGTCCTGTGGGAGCCCTTCTTGGGTTCTTTGTGGCGTTACCCAGCAGGTCCGCATAGAGGATGATTAGGACCATGGGCCTGAGTGCAGGTGTCTGAGATGGTCTGCACTTGGCTGTGCTGGGGGATGGTCTGTATGTCAAGTTGTTCTGATTGATCAATAAATAAAACCTGATCGGCTGTGGCTAGGCAGGAAGGATAGGCGGGACTAACAGAGAGGAGAAATAAAAGGACAGGAAGGCAGAAGGACTGACTGCAGCCGCCGCCATGACCAGCAGCATGTGAAGATGCTGGTGGGCCACCAGCCATGTGGCAAGGTATAGATTTATGGAAATGGACTAATTTAAGCTATAAGCACAGTTAGCAAGAAGCCTGCCATGGCCATGCAGTTTGTAAGCAATATAAGTCTCTGTGTTTACTTGGTTGGGTCTGAGCGGCTGTGGGACTGGTGGGTGACAAAGATTTGTCCTGACTGTGGGCAAGGCGGAAAACTCTAGCAACAGATGAGAAATCATTTTGTACTGAATTAGGATAGATCTATATCAAGAAAGTAAAATCAGAGCTGGTTGTCAACTTGATTCGCCTTGGAATCAACTGATTGGCATGCCTCTGACAGGTCTGGGTGGGTATTCCCTTTAATTAATTGAGGATGGAAGGCTCTCCCCTAGAGTGAACAACACCTTCTGGTGGCAACAAGAAAAAGAGATTTGAATTTGATAGTGAGTTACTCCACTGCTGCTGCTTCTACCTCAATCCTTTGCTAACATTGGAACCTAGATTTTTTTTCTGTCCTTCCAAAGTTAGACTGAAGAAGAGCAAATTCTCATGCATCCTGCAGCCCTTCAATGCCATCCTCATAGACTGAGAAGCTACTGTGTCCTCTGTCCCACAGCATTCCAGCAGGTGTCATTGGACTATCCAGTCTATCATATAAGCCAAACTAATAAACCATGTTTGTACTATATATGCAATATACCCATTCTATCACTCTAGAAAACTCTGACCAACACGGACTTTGTGTTATCAGAAGTGGGGTCACTGCTATGATAAACCTGGCCATGTGGTTTTTAAGTCTTTGGAACTGATTTACAAAAGAAGTATGGAAAAATTTGTAACTTGAAACTATAAAAACACTCTACTATAAACAGTGCTTAAAGGATCATTCTAGTAGACGTTTTGAAAATAAAAATGCTGGAAGAAACAAAGAGAGTGGAGGTTTGTCTCATGGTGTTTCAGAGGAGAAAAAGGATTGTATTGGGACTGGGTCAATGAGAAACTACAATACTCTATCCAGATAGAATGACAAATGGCCCAGATCCTTCAGGAATGGACATATGGGTTACTCCTCCAGACAAAAACACAAAACCTGATGAGGTGACCAATGAAGATGGAGAAGCACAAAATGAGCAGAAGAAGGTAGTTACAAATAGCAGCTAAAGCCATATAACTAGTTACAGAAATGAGGATTATAATTTCCATATTTCTGTCATTCTTTGTTATGGAATATTCCTTTACATTGTGTGAAGATATGTCACTGTGACCAGTTTAATAAAAAGCTAAATGGTCAATAGCTAGGCAGGATTTTGCAGGCAGAGAGAACTCTAAGAAGAAGGCAGAGTCACCAGCCAGATGCAGAGCAAGCAGGATGGGCACTATGAAAATAAGGTAATAAAGCCATGACGCAAAAGGTTGATTAAAAGATATGGGTTAATTTAAGTTATATGAGCTAGTTAGAAACAAGCCTAAGCTATCCATTGAGCCTCTTATAATATTAAGTCTCCATGTCATGATTTGAGAGCTGGCTGGTGAGACAGAGAAAAATCCACTTACACTTTGTTAAGAATACATTTGTACATGTATGTTTACACATATATTAAGCAGATTTTTCCTCTCTTTCTTTACCATATAATAGAACAGTGATTGAGATAATATTGGTATATAAGAGTTATAAATCTATATTGTCAAATTTAATTTTTGAGAGACTGAGCACTATGGTGATATTTTATTTGTACTGAAATGTGATTTTAAATTTATGTTAATAAATAAAGTTGCCCTGGGGTTAGAGCTATTAGAGCCATAGCAAGAGCGTGGTGGTTAGAAGAGCTAGGTAGATTTCTGTGTGTTCAGGGATACAGTCAGTATTGGAGACATACACCTTTAAGACCTGGAGGGCGGTACTTACAGGCAGTGACAAGGCAGTCATGTGGTTGGGTTTACAACCAATGAGAAGGCAGAACAGAAAGACTATTTAAAGACAGACAAACAGGAAGACGCTCTCTCGAGGAAGTTAGGAGCACTGCAGGAGGTAAGATTTTATCTCTGAGCTCTGACCTCTCGGCTTTCTCTTTTACATTGGCTCTGTGTTTCTTATTTTAATAAGATGATTGGTTACATCTACAGAGTACT